ATATACACACACACACACACACACTTAGGTTTAATTTTTAAAAATAATTTAAATTTTTTACTAAGAGTTGAATTGAACGGGGATGGAGAATCCCCGTCCCCGCCTAATTCTCCACGGGGACGGGGATGGGGAGTATTTTCAATTCCCCGCGAGGATGGGGACGGGGACGGGGACGAGGAGTGTACTCCCCGCCCCCGCCCCGTTGCCATCCCTTATTACTGCTAGTACTTACTGCCAGAGATACAGTGGAGACATTACTCATTAGTTTTATATATATATATATATATATATATATATATATATATATATATATATATATATATATATATATATATATTCGGGGACGAGTGGGGCGGGGAGGGGTATCCCCGTCCCCGACGGGGAATCATATACTCCTCGTTCTCGTCCCTTGAAAATTTTGCCCATTTCCGTCTCTATTGAGGCGGGGATCGGGGATCCCCGTCGGGGACGGGGCACATTGCCATCCCTACAAATTATGTTGTGAAACCGTGTGCACTATAGAATTAGATCCGTAATTTCTATACTATAGATCCATAATTTCTATATTATAGATTCATAATTTTTACATTATAGATTAATAATTTGATTGATAATTTCTATACTACAGATTCATAATTTTTATACTATAGATTTTATGAATCTATAATTTATGTATAGATTTTATGAATCTACAGTATAGAAATTATGGATCTATAGTATAGAAATTATGGATCTGTAGTATATAAATTATGGATTCAATTCCGTGTGCACATTGCATGGTGCACACGATTGCACAGCATAATGATTGTAATTTTTAGACCTGGGTCCACAATATAAGATGGACTCTGATCCATGGTATAACAATTGCATTTTTTTGTTTATCTACTTAAATTTTGGTTGTAATGAAATTTTCAAGAACTCATTTTTAGATTGAGTAATTTGATCAATTAAAGTTTCTCCGACTCAAATAGATATTTTCTAAAAAATTAATTATAAAATTCTATTTATAGAAGAAAAATAAATTATTAAAAATTGTAAATATGAAAGTTCTATTGATTTTTTTTATTTTTTTTATTTTTACAAGGAGGTGTTACCCAAAAGATGCTCACATTGCAGAGGCTAATTGCCTCAATATGACATGTTTAAGGGTGTAATTGAATTTTTTAAAGTTTACGGGCCTAATTAACTCTTTAGATAATGTTTAGGGGTGTATTTGACCATTTTCTCAAACATTAATAAATAAGTAGGACACGCAGATTTAACATGAAAATCTATTATGTAATGGAGAAAATATAGAGAAACACCTTATTCTACTTATAAATTATTATAGAGAAACATCTTATTCGAATTATGTGATGGAGAAATAGATTGACTAGTTTGAGAGATTATAGCAGTCAAACAGTAGTGCTATCTCACTGTCATCTGTCTTTTATATATATATATACAGTATAATTATTGTACCGCTTAAGTGGTGACTAGACGCTACCCAGGTGTCCGAATAGTAACTAACGCTTTCTGCAAAGTTTATTATGCATTTTTATTTTGGTATACTTTTCATGATGAACAGTGTTTAGTGATCTCCGGCAAAACATGGGTGTTGTTAAAATCTGATTAATTTGCAGAAATCCTCCTCATCTTATGAGTGTATTCAGTAGCAGAATTGTTGTGTTCAGCTATTAATTAACTGCAATACACTGTTGTATTCATTGTATTAGTTGAGATTCTTTGTATGAAAACTGTGAAAATTCTAGGGATTAGTCCCAACAAGTAGAATCATGTATGCTATTTGTATCCTATATAGTACAATAGGACCAATGATAGTAATCATTACCAATCGACATGAATGACCCTTGCTTATGGTTAAGAATATACTTTTATTATCTTGCAAGTTTACTCAAGTGGTTGATCATCTGACCTAAAGTCAATACTCCAGCAGCAATATCTTAGAGTTAAGACCTTTCAAGTAGGCAGAATTGTAATAATGGATCAATCAATGATAGGGACTGTTTGGTGACTTGCGATTTAACAACGTAAAAAAAAAAAAAAAAAAAAAAAAAAAAAAAAAAAAAAAAACTTTGATTCATGTTATTGATGTTCTATTTCAAAAAAAAAAAAAAAAAAAAAATGTTATTGATGTTTTATCTGAGTCTGACAATAATGGATGGATTTATTGCTTTGTTTCTTTGCTGTGCCTCAAAGACAATTTAGACCAATGTCAGCCCAATGCCACAGCCAGGGCAAATTATGCCCTGGACCCGTGTCCACAATGAATTGTGGACACGGGCCCAAAACGACGTCGTTTTTCAAAAAAAAAAAACGCGTCATTTAGTTAAAAAAAAATAAAATAAAATAAAATAAAATAAAAAAAATTGTGCGGGTTTTGCCGTTAACGGCGTTATTTTTTTTTTTTGGATTATGAATGTACAGTTATGCCGTTACGAATGTACAGTTATGCAATTATGAAATTATGAACACAGAGCTCTAACATTATGAACTTACAATTATGACCATATATAGTGATAAAATTATGACCATGGAGCTTTAAAATTGTGAATATAGAGCTTCGAAGATTATGAATGTACAATTATGGAGTTGTGAATGTACAGTTATAGAGTTATGAATCTACAGTTATGGAGTTATGAATCTACAGTTATGAGATTATGAATCTACAGTTATGGAATTATGAATGTACAGTTATTGATCGAATTATGAACAAAGAGCTCTAACATTATGAACTTACAATTATGAACATATAGTGATAAAATTATGAACATAGAGCTCTAAAATTGTGAACATAGAGCTTCGAAAATTATGAATGTACAATTACGGAGTTATGAATGTACAGTTATGGAGTTATGAATGTACAGTTATAGAGTTATGAACGTACAGTTATGGAGTTATGAATGTACAGTTATTAACATATAGTAATAAAATTATGAACATATACTCCTATAACGAAGCGATCTGAAAAAAAAAAAAAAAAAAAAAAAAAAAAAAAAAAAAAACTGTTACCCGTGTCCAGCAAGCATGCTGGACAGGGGTCCAACGCATAACGATTGCACAGTCAGGTAGTCATGCCCACGGAACCAAAACCGGTTAGGTTCCGACAACGAACCGAAACTAGTTAGGCTCCGACAACGAACCGAAACCGAAATTCATAACATAAGATATAATTATTAATTTGTTTCATATATAAAGATACAAAATTTCAAAATATAATACAAAAAACTCATAACATACGACACATACACATGCATTAGAATTTACAGTGCATTATGAATCCTGATTCATGGTATAACAATTGCCCAATCTATCTACCAACTCACTCATCATTAATTTTACTTTTACAAAATATTTGATCATTAATTTTACTTTTACAAAATATTTGATCCTCAACATGTTTTTCACATTGTTTTAGTTTGAAACTTTAGAAATAATTATATTGCTATCAAAACATTTCTTTATGTTTGTTTTTCATTCATCTGGTTAAACAATTTAAAATTGTTTTGAAATTGTTCAATGGTACAAAAATGCACTTAGCATTAATTTCTAAAAATTACTTGATAAGTCAACAAAATTGCATAGTACTCGTAGTATTTAACTATTTACATCTCTTTTTTTGTCTTTATGCTACAATATAAATTATAAAAAGAAGTATAATATAAGTAATTCGAATACCAGAAAAAAATTGGCCTATTAGCTCAGCGGGTTAGAGCGTCGTGCTAATAACGCGAAGGTCGCAGGTTCGAGACCTGCATGGGCCAAATTTTATTTTGCCACAACCCAGCATTACGGATTTATGGGACCTTGAAGTTTCACACTTTACATTTTGGCCACTAACAATTTTATATTCGCCCCTGAAGTATACAAGTTTAAAACTTCAGCCATAATGTAATAGGTGCTGTTTCAATTCCACCCTCGTGCATTCCCTTTAGAATATGCTGTAGTACAACAAATAAAATTAGATGTTAATACTTGTGACAATTGAAAAAAAAAGTCTGAAAATTGTATCCACATTAATATAAGGAGCATTCGTGTTGTAATATAATGTGTTAATATTTATTTTAAAATTTGATAAATCATACTATATTTTTGTATTATATTCCATATGTTGTAAAATCATAAAATCTATAAATATAAACGTAAAAATAAGAACGAAGATTAACGAATACTTGCACAAAGCTAATTGTTGCTTTGTAGTACAAGTTAACCTCATGTTTGGTCATTACAACACTATATATAGTTAGTTATACAAGAGCAAAAGATTAAAATAAGACGTTTTTGTAGTGCATGGATCGAACAATAATATAACGATTTTAAAAGCAGGACAAAAGTAGGAAAAAGTACTTTGGGACATGTATTAATATAAGGATCATTTTTTGCTCTCTTCTTGTAGAAACATAATACGCAAGTAGGACTTAGCTTGTGTTTGATGTACACAAGTCCCACTTGCGTCTGTGGTCAACATTTCGAAAAAAAAAAAAAATTTTTCAAATGCATCTGAGCGCGTGACCTAAAGTACTTTTTCATACTTCTGTCCAGCTTTTAAAATCGTCACATTATTGTCCATGCACTACAAAAACGTCCTATTTCAATCTTTTGCCCAGTTATACAAGCTTTGGAGCGAACATATATAGATGTCCGGCCTGCATCACTCGGCTGGTTGGCCCTAACTTGCGACACCAAATGCCATGTCCCGGTAAATTATTGTATGGACCGTTGTATCATGCATACGATGTGGTAGTTATGAGCTTCAGTCATCAACCCTCTGACAAACATTATTCCCATATATCATTGCATGCATTATCCTGGAACTACTTAATTTTCACAATTTACATATTAAATATTTACAATTTACCTTTTAAAAAATTTTGAACATTTATGTAAGTTATGTATTTTAATTTGGATTGGACAAGATGGACCCGAATTCACAGAATAATTTGTTGCATTAACAACCTAGAACTTGCACCCAAAAATGAATGTATAAAACGTGTACAGGAGACGATCCAACATTCGATCTCTATTATATATCTTCATAAATATCAAAAATAAATATGCCTGAAATTGTTATATGATCTAATTTCTTAGTTAATCACAAACTCAGATCTAAACTACAACTACTACTGCCACCCATTCCTGTTCCTTCTTCCTGCTTTCTTCTTCTTCTTCTTCTTATCCCATGATGATGATTTCCCTCTGATGAATACAAGGAAAGACACAGTTTAGTACTATGATTACTATCCTCGTACTTCAATCTCTGCTCATCATTAATCCTCGAATTTAAGGATAAATTCAAATCAAGATTATTCACTTCTGCAAATTTCCTTTTCTTTATTATTCTGCCCATTCTCTCTCCTCCTTCATCAGTAGTTCTGTGTCTGTGTAGTTGTTGCAGATTGGTTGAAGACGATGGAGTGGGTGTACTCATTGTCTCATCTGCAGATGAGAATCTTTGTGTGAACATCATGGGAAAATCCGAACTGATGAGAGAATAATTAGTGATGTTGTTTTGACCATGGAACCCACTACCCCTCAGTATATTGGAAGCTGCCACTTTCGTATATACATAATTAGCTCCAGCAATCTTTATTACACCATCTTCAGATCTAGACCAAAATAATTATTTAAAAAAAAAAAAAAAGAGAATTAGGGTCAAATTGAAGTTACATTTAGAGTCTTTATTAGAGTCTGTTTTGAAAATTGAAAAATATTTTTTTAGAAACACTCATTTTTTAGAAAATATTTAATTTTTTGGTGTTTGGCTAAATGTCAAAAAATTATATTTTTTTGTTTGGTTGAAACTTGAAAGTTAAGATATTACATTTTTTTTTCTGTTTGGTTCATTTTCTCGAAAATGAATATATTATTGGTTATAATAATAATAATAAGTGGTGGTGGTGGTGGCGGTGGTTGCGGGGTGACGGTGGTGTGGTAGTGGTAGTTGTGGTCGGTGGTAACGGCAGTAGTTGTGTGGTGTTGTGGTGGTGGTGGTGGTGGTGGTTGTGGTTATGGTGGTGGTGTTGATGGTGGTGGTGTCATAGTGGTGACCATGTGATGTTGTAGTTGTGTTGTGGTGCGGTGGTGTTGGTGTTGGTGCATGGTGATTGTGGTGGTGGATGGTAATAATAATAATATGAAAATTGATTTAAAAAAAAGATGAAAAATAAAGAATCTGAAAAATGTCTTCCAACTAAAATTATGAAGGCATTTTCCACCAAATTAGGTCTTTTTTTTATTGACCATAATAAATATTTTCTTTGACTTCATTTTCCTTACTACCAAACATTGAAAAATTTGAAAAATGACTTCTGAAAGTTATTAATTTTTGGATTTCCAAATGTACCTTAATGACGAACCCAATAAATTTTCAATTTTAAAATTTTGGAAACTGTATAATGATGTATTCCATCCTTAATTGTCATGTTACTATTTATTGGTAAAATCAATTTTTCATTTCCTCGTTTATTTTCCGAGGCCCATGTTTGGAGGTAGCCCACCCCACAAAAAATAATAATCTAAAAACATAATAAGTGTGAATGAAGGTTATACCCTTCATTTATGTCCATTTTTTCTGTTAAGTGTTTTAATACATTATGCTATAAAAGTTGTACTTTACAATATTTTGGACAAACATACCCCTACCGTTATAACTTCCGTTATCTTTTCCACAATTGTTACCATTCACATACATCCACCATATATTTTCTTATCTTTAATAATATATACACATTATATATTGGAGTTATATGTTAGTTATTTTCTAAAATATAAATATCAAATTTATAAAAATGTTTTACATTATTATTATTATTATTATTTACAATAATTTAAATATCTAAAATCTAAATAGATTTAAAATTTTAATATAAAGTACTAATATTGGACATTTATTTTTTTGCGCATCGCGCATAAAATAATAATAATAATAATAATAATAATAATAATAATAATAATAATAATAATAATAATAATAATAATAATAATAAACAAAATAATTTAATTGGTATGTTATATGGTTATTATTTCGAAAGTCAAGCTAAGGAATCAAGACTTAACCATTTACTATGGATTATAATTTTAAATTTGATTTTTCGTGTTTAATTATAATTTTTAATATTATTTTTAAATATATAAATTTTATATACTAACACTAAATTAAATATTAAAAATATTAAAAATAACTCAAATCAAATCTAGCTGATGCGTAGAACCTGACATGTAAAATGAGAAAAGTGTCATAAATAAGACAAACTAATATATATATATATATATATATATATATATATATATATATTCAAGAGGCTTATTATTTAATGTCATATATCCTTTTTTTATTCATTAACTTTTTTTTTCTTTGGGTCTAATGTTGCATAAAACATGACACCGTACAACAATATGAATTTTCTTATTTTTTTTTTAAAATCTAGTAAATTTCATACCTTAAAATGGGAGTTGGTGTTTGATTAAACCCATGTAGCCTATGGAAATGGCTGAAGTTGTAAACATGGTGATCTTCATTATCAAGAAGAAACCCTCCATCGCACGTAGCTGTCACACATACATATATAAGAATATGCTGTCAACCCTAGTTTAATATTTGTGTTATATATATATATATATATATATATATATATATATATATATATATGAGAACCACTCCACAGGTAAAAATTTATGGACAAATCCAAACTATTAATCTGCAAGATCTGATGGATGAAAAATCAAGTAAGAAATGAGCGGGGTCATTTTTATAAATATTATAAAATTTTAAAATTAATTAGCGGAGTCATTTTCATAAATATTACAAAGTTTTGTTTATTTTCAACCATTAAATTTACTAGATCAACTAGATCAATGACTTGGATTTGTCCACAAATCCTCACATTTCCTGTGAGAATGTGCGAACTAATTTAATTTGTCCATCTATGATGATAAATGACTGGAAATTAATAAGAAAATGCAATGACATTTTTGTAATTACGATTGTACATTTGGAAACACAATGCATTTAGAAAAGAATTCTAAAATGCGCGATCAATTAGCACTGCCAAACGTTTCCGGATGCATAATCATAATTATAAAAATATTACTGCATTTTTTCTTAATTTTCAAACATTAATAATCTTAAATGGACATATGAGATTAATTCATAAGTTCTAACCTAAAGCTTAATAATTCTCATAGAGTGATCCAATATTTCAAAGTACATAGAAAACCAATTCATCTTACCTTGGTTAGGTTCATATGCCTTCTTACTTCTGTACATCTAGTAATGATACAACAAATTCAAAACAAAACACATTAACAAATCTCGTAACATATGAGAGTTTCTATGAGACCGAAATAGGTGTTGATAATATTGAATATAACTATGTAAGTTATTTTTTATTGTATGTATTGAATATTATCTTCATTAATATTAATATTATTTGATATAACCTGGTATATTATGTTATATACATAATTTGTACTCCATATTATCAATATTGACATAAATTGGCACTATAGAAAAACCCACACAAACACACACACACACACACACACACACACACACACATATATATATATATATATATATATATATATATATATATATACCTGAAGGTGGCTCTTGACATGAGATATGTTAATGCCTTTAACATTCATCAATTCAGCAACTAACTTAGGCGTAGCTTCTGCAAAAATTAATTAAGATAATTAACAGTAATAACCATCATATCTCTCTCTAATTACATTATATTGAATTAATGATGCTTGAAAAAAAAAAAAAAAAAAAACAGCACCGTAATATCAACCAATTCAATTCAAGTTGGTCCGGTGTTTGACTTAATAACTAAAAGGTTATATGTAATAAGTTCTACTCTTAACTGGAACGGCCTATTGACATATGCACACCTTCGGATAGTGGCTGATGGTCTCCCTCATTACTCAAAAAAGTAATAAAAATACACACACACACATATATAGTATGTTCTACTATACAATACATACTCCCAAATTCTACTCTCAATCTTACTAACTGATGTGACAAACAATGATTGGTTATTTTCATCATGTAGCCTACAGAAAAGTATCTACATCAAGAACTTGTGAGAGGAAGTAAAAGTTGAGAGTATAAAATTGGGGAGAAAATGGTCAAATATAATAACCCACTAAACTCTATGTGAAAAGTCAATTAGTCCTTTAAACTATTAAAAAATGTAATTACACCATTTAACATGGTATATTGAGACAATGAAACCCAAAAACAGGTAAATGACCTACTATTACATGTCATTAGAATTCCAGAATCAATTTTATCCATCTCCGGCAATAATTCAACGGTCGGCGACGGTCCGTCTACCGGAGAAGGTAACCAATTTAATTTGTCACCTTCTCCGGCGGAAGGCGACGAATTGGCTGCCTTCCCCGGTGGAGCGACTAGTTGGGAGTACCGTTTAGGGACTTATTTGATCATTTTTTCTCTCTATATATATATACGTGCGTGTGTGAGAACTTACTATCTTGCCCTCCAAGTCTCTGAACGGCATGAACAAAGCAGCGATGGAGCTCAGGAGTCCATCGTAATCTCCGAACAGTGGAACGTTTGTACGGCCTCACGTTTCCTGCAGAGGATGATGAGTTGGTCGTCTTCTTCACGTTATCACCTTCCACTGTGCTGTTATTGCTGGAGCTAATGCTTACTACTACTCCATTATCACTTCTCTTTCCACATTTCTTACTTTCTTTACTGTATTCCTCTTCTTCTTCTTCCTCTTCGGATTCGATTTCGGGGATTTCTGTCTGGGAGACTTGAGTGCTGCTTTTCTGCTCTTTCATCATCTCTCTGTGATCAATAATAATGATATTAATGGTTGTGTGTGTGTGTTATTAATGGTGGATTGAGGGAGTAGTTCTATATATATATATATATATATATATATATATATATATATATATATATATATATATATATATATAAGAGAAAGAGTTGTGTTGTGATGATGATGGAGACAGGAAAATTTTGTTGTTGACAAAAGTTGGTAACTTTAGGAATAAAATTTCTTGAAATGGGAATATAAACACTTCTCTTCCTCGTTTTCAAAGGCAATTGGGATGGTAATACTAATTAGTTAAACCAGCTCTCCACTCAGATAACTATGTAAATTTATCTCAATCAAAACTATTCCTAAAGTGTATATGATGCATATAAATATTATATATTGATAAGAATTATATTTAAGCATTCGTCGATTTACTTAATGGACCGTTGAGTCATTCTTATTTATTATCCGTTTACAATCTTGTCGGACAAGTGTGTGGGTCCTTGGGAACGAGGGATGACAAATTATTTTGTGGACCCGCGGGTCTATCTTGGGTCTAAATGTTTACAATATTTTTTAAAAATTCACAATTTGTATATGTTAACATATATGAAATTGATTACCTTGGTTTTATTCACAAAGTTCTTTCAAATACTGCAGTCACACAATATTAACAACTTATAATTTGATTACCCAGTATTATATTCACAAATTCCCTTCTACAATTAGTTGTTATGTGTTTTGACTTAAAAACACAATTTATATTCTAGATGTTCACAATTTCAATACTAAAAATACACAATTTATACGTCGTTTAGGACCAGGGTCCATGGTATAACAACTCGAGAGGGACTTTACCTTTTATGGGCAAGTTAATATGTATAATGGGATTCCTTAATTTTCAAGTCAATCAATCAATGGTTGAAACCAAATGGGAGGTCACAAGTTCGAACCTCAGTGAGAGCATTGACATTTTGTATTTCACTAGGTTGAAAAATTATATATATAGAATATACAACATTGTAATAGAGTCAGTGCGTAGTACTAAAAATAAAAGTCAATTAATGATTGAATTTTGAAACTCGATCTCTTGAAGCTACTCCTATGTCATTTTTCTTTTCGGTGACCAAACTGACTCTTCTTTTTTCACTTGTTTTCTTTAATATTTTCTTATAATTTTTAAATTTAAAGTTTTTTTTGGGTGTTTAATAACACCTTTGATGTACTTTTTAAATATAAAAGTTTTATATACAAATACTAAACTAAAAATTATTTTTAAAAAATTTAAATTGTAAATAATTTGAGTTAATTCTCGTTAACTGAACTTGACACATAAAATGAAGCAGATAGAGCAATTATTTAGCATAACGAGAGAAACTCGCAGTTATCACCACCTTTACCCGAGAGTGTGCACTAGGTAAATTCTAACTTAGGACCACAAGGAGGTAAACCAATTTGGTTGCTCATGGTTGACCGGCTCAAACTAAGAAAATCAATAAGTCTCTCCTATTGGGAGTCAAACTTGTAACTTTATTATGATTATCAAATTAATAACTTGACCAATTTGGCTGGTTAACCTTAAGTTAAGTCTATGTAACTAATGTAAGGTGGATTATATTGGTCTATATTTCATTGAGATGATCGAGTTTGGTTAGTAATTTCTGAATAGTTAGGCATTTTTTTTAATAATCTTAATATGTTATTGACACTCCAAATCATCTTTTCTTTCTTATATGTGGAGAAGTATGCTCTAAATCTCATGGGTTAGAGATGTCCGGATAATTTTTATAAAATATGTATAAAAAAAATAGTAAGAATTTTTAGAGTCCGTTTACTTCAAGAAATTGTTCTTATATTTTTTTAATAATTTCTTTTTTTACTTTTATTCTTTATTTTATATTATCTGTTTTTTATTTAGAAAACTTGTTTACTAACACTCATTTTTTCAAATTTATTTTTTTAGACTAACATTATAAAACTAGCACAAGTTTAATTTCAAGTGATTTTTAGATCTTATATTTAAAATATTTGTGGATATGTTTGTTTTAAATGGAATAAATAAAATGTTTACTACTTTTAAGTCTAATATATGTAAGATTTTTACCTTTGATATCGAAACCAATTTATATCTATATACTCCGTATAACATAAGACCTATTAACTTCACCTAAAATTTAGTTTAGATAATATTAATATATAATTTTTGAGCTAATATTTTTAGATATATTCATTTGAAAGAAGTGTGTGTGTGTGTGTGTGTGTGTTACTTAATTACTTTGAAATTTAATATATGTGAAATTTCAATATATGATATCCGGACCAAACTTGTATTACTATATAACAGAACTAAAAATATTTGAACCAATTCCCAATAATCTATTGAGTTCAATCAAAATTTAAAACTTGGTGTATTGTTTAAGTTTTAATTGTGATAATGTGAATTATGTCTAACTTTAAGCGTAATCAAATAAATTATGTTTATATAAGTAAATGCGAGTAGAAAAGACAGAAGATAGTGATAAATAAAATAAGCTGATAATAAATGTAATCATAGTAATGAATAAATATATGTATGTAGATAATGATAAGAAATTAAGAATGTATACATAATGTTATATAACCAAATAATTTATATATGATTTTGTTTAAAGTTTTCTAGAAAACTAGAAACATTTTTCAATTTTCAAAATTATGAAAAATTGTGCTATTAAATATGTTTTTATTTTCTATTCTCTAATTTTCTTTTTGAGTACTCTATTATCTAATTTTCTAATTTTTCATAAAACTGGAAAATTCTCGTGTGAGTAAACAAGCAGTTAATGTGCAAATTTCGATTGCTTGTTTAAGAACACATATAATGTTGTTCATGGATGATTTCTTGTAGATATACAGGTATAACGTGGGCCATCATCATTCTCTTATCATGAATTCATTGCTAGAACTTTCCAAGTGAAATTGAATTGAAATTGCCAAATTGGTAGAAAGAAATTCCAAACCAAATTGATGAGTCCATTCCAAAAGATAAGAATGTAGAGAGTAGTAGTTGTGGTATTAAATATTTTAATTGGATAATTTCATTTTTGGTTCTTGATTTATAGGTGACAGTTTACTTTTAGTCTCTGTTTTTTTTTTTTTTTTTCAAAATATCTTCCTTTAGTCCTACTATTATTGTGGCATGACCATTTTTGGTCATCTATCAACAAAATAGTTCAAATGCTATTAAATACAAGAATATTTTGGTATTCAATTATAGATTTTGTTCAAAAAGATAAACATAAAAAATATAAGGGGTCACACACTTTGTTTTAAAAAGATCAAATGTCCTTATATTTAATGACATTTCAACGATTTTGTTGATGGGATACCAAAAATGGTCATGTCATAATAATACTAGGATCAAAAGGAAATGTTCTAATAAAAAATGACTAAAGGTAGATTGCCACGTCACTTATAAATCTAGAACAAAAATGAAAGGGATAAGGGTCAAATAGACCATCCAACTATATATCAAAATGCAATTAGACCCTTAAGCTAAAAAAAAAAAAAAAAAAAAAAAAAAAAAAAAAAAATCAATTAAACCCCTACACTTGTTAAAAGTGTGCAATTAACTAATTTGACCTATAATAACATGTTACCTTCAAGTCACATGCCACACGGTTGTCACGTAAGATGCCGCATAGATTAATATTTTAAAAAAATTATTAAAATAATAAATCAAAATAATTATATTAAAAAAAAAAAAAAAAAAAAAAAAAACAGACTACCATGACAGAGAGTTGCCATGGCTTCTTCCGTTCTTCGTCCATCCGATTTGAACGGAGCAGCCATGGCTTCTCCGTTCTTAACTTACAGTGAAGCCTGTCGACTTCTTCGTCCTGGGCGACTTTCTATTTTTTCGTCCTAGGCAACTTTCTATTTTTTTAATTAGTTTTATTTTTTACTTTTAGTTTATTTTTATTTTTGAATAGAATGCATGATGTCATGCAATCGAAATTAACTGGTTACTTGTTGGTAACCTATTAAATATGTTAATTGAACAATTTTAACAAGTGTAAGGGTTCATCAATTGAATGTTTTTTTTTTTAGTTTGAGAGTCTAATTGCATTTTGACATATAATTGGAGGACTTATTTGACCCTTATCCCAAAATGAAATTAATTCTTTTAATTGTTTAATCACTATTCACAAGGCAAGTTTTTATGAAGTAATTAATATACAAATTATATTAAACAATTTGTGTGTGTGTGTGTATATAAGGTGTGTCAGTTGTTGAAACTTAAGGTGCGCTTGTCTAAAGCTTTAGGTGCGTGGTTTTACTTCTTAAGGTGCATGGTTTTCCTTCTTAAGGTGCGTCAGTTGTTGAAACTTAGGTGCGCCATTTTAAAACTTTAGATATGTGGTTTGTGTTCTTAAGGTGCTTTATTTGTGTCCTTAAGGTGCGCGGTTTGTATACTTAAGGTGCATGCGTTATGTTAATGCTTAAGGTTAGGTGCGTCAATTCAACACTTAAGGTGCGTCCTTTTATGTTATCCACACTTTCACATGAGAAGTTATCTTATCTGATCCCTATATATATATACACACACTCTCTCTCTTCTATTTCAAATGAGAGATTGCGACCCTTTCCTAACACACATACATACATATGCCACGACTTATTTAAATTTATTTTGTATATATTTGTGTAGTACATGCTTTATTTGTGTACGTAATTTGTGATCGATTCTTATGATTGTTCTATCAAATTATTCATGTGCAACGGCATATATATAGACGAAACAATCTTAATTTACACACTTTTTATATTAAAGGCATTAAGAATTACGGAGTATAATATTTAGCTAGCTCTCTACCGGACCAGTCCTATCATTTTATAGGTCCGGAGTAACATAAACACAAGGGCACTTAATATATGAAGTTAAAAGATTTTATGAGTTAATTGAAAATAATTAAATGATAAATTTGAATTTTTGTAAACATATACTTTTTTTATTAAAAAAAAAAAAAAAAACATTTTAGAATAGTTTATAGAAGTGTCCATTCAA